AACCATTATGCCCACCTAAATCTCCACAAGGATTCATAATATGATATTATGTTTGGTCACACAATGTCTAAGTAYAACGAATGCATAGCATCAATAGCCAATGGGTATTAAAAATTTAAAATACGATTGGTTTATAACRTTCATAATTTAATGTATACCTATGTGTTACCGGTACAGAACCAAATCGATTCAGTTCATGGATTGTAATTAAATATTCGGACAACGCACATGTTCATGTAGTAAAAATATTWCATWATCGYCCATTATTGTATAYATCGAACATACATTCATTTAAATGTTATCAACGCTGACAGACAATTCGTATGTGACTGTGACTGCAGCGATCTGAACCTTTATAATGACATTATTATGTAATCATWTCAAAATTTCAAATACGGAACAATTTGAAAATCATAAAAATAAAATAATGCATTGACCACTTGTGATTGAGTTTCGCAGGAGTTTAACCTAAAATAATATCTATGAGGTGCGTGTGGTGTTGATTATTTAACAAATAGTTATGATACAAGTACAGAATTCTGCATTCTGTGCACCGTATTCCATATTTCGCTGAATCCTGCAGCTATAATATAGTAATAATATGCATTTTTACGGCAAAAAAACGACAAACATGATTTTCAGTCCCATATAAATTTATACATAATAACATCATAATATAAGTATATCATCATATAGTTAGATGTACAAACGTAAATAATTATAYTATATAAGTAAGTTTGTCGTTTACAATTTGTACCTATTACAGGCTACAGTTATATGAAGTTAAAAATGTTATCAATTTATTAAATCTTTATAAGTGTTTAGAAAATAAACACACCGTACTTAATGATCAAAATTAAAATGAAATCTCTGCTGGCCGCGTTTGATTTTTATCCGAATACATACTATTAATATATTATACTTCGAGTATTGTCAATTAGGTATTAACAAATTGTGTTTATTCCACAGATCTAATCGTTGTCGTGGCGTCGATCGTGGTCTTATCGATCGGTTCCAACGGACAGGTGTTTGCCACATCAGCAATAAGAGGCATTAGGTTTCTACAAATATTGAGAATGCTTCATGTGGACCGTCAGGGCGGTACATGGCGGCTTCTCGGCTCAGTTGTATTTATTCATAGACAAGTGAGTTTCAGCGACATTTGAATACAATAACGTTAGAAAAATGATCGAAAGTCAACATACCACTACTAAATAATATTATTAATTATTATTATTGTTGTTTTTATGTTATTTCCGGAAAAGTCAAAGCAGACTAAAGAAACAATAAAACTAAATAATATTAATAATATTAAGAAAAATCAAATAATAATATATTCGTAGAATCCGTGAAGAATTTTTAGGCAGATTGAGATAGCGGTATTCTATTGAAAATTATAACGTTATAGCTAGGAACTGAAAGTTTTTAATTAAAAAACTTTAATTAAAGGTAAACAAAAGCGAAATGTTTTCTGATGTGAGCCACGCGAGCTGCATTATGTGAATCGGTTGCGGTYGTTCATGTATAGGTTATATTTTAACGCATATTGTCATATGTATAATATACAGGGATAAGAGGGAAACAGTGAGAAAAATTGACAACTTTATAATATTATATCATAATATAGAATATATACGGACGATAGTACGGGATTCAGTGAGTCTATTGTCRACTGTTGTTGTTGTTCTTCCTTCTTCCTCTTATCGCCGATATGAAGGAAGATAATAAATTATTGTGTATTATTATTATATAATACGTGTAAACGTGTTATAGATGTGGCACATGGAAATAAACTATCTAGAAACATAAATTTTCGGTTTGTCTCAATTAAAMTATGTTTTGTTTGAGTTGTTTGACTTTCGATCGCCACCGTCACAGAGTTTCCACTTTCCACCATTGACTTTCAAAACGTTTGATAGTTGTGAAGTTATACAAAATAAAACACTAATGCGATCGCTATTTAATAACGGTTTTTTTCTTATTATTATTATTCTAGGAGCTCATCACTACGTTGTACATAGGATTTTTAGGTTTAATATTTAGCAGCTACTTTGTTTACCTCGCTGAAAAAGATGCGGTCAGTAAGGATGGGAAATCAAGAAACGATTTTTCCAGCTATGCGGACGCGCTCTGGTGGGGTGTGGTAAGTTAATTTTTACACATTTTTTGTGGTAATTGGTACATTTTTAGAATTTTTATTTTTTTGTGGTATATAATAAAAATAATATCTAAGTAATAATCTCTACTTTAGTAGTATTTGGCATGTATAATAATTTTAAAAGTATATATTTAATTATATATACCAAGTTTAAATATTTAAAAAAGTTTTCAACACTGTTTGTTTCTGAATACATTTTGCAAGTTTCGAT